AAAAAAAAAAAAAAGCTTTTGGACCCTTGTTTCTGCTGAGACTCGACTCTAAGATCCTGCCCTCACAGCAGGAAGCACAGGGGGATCTCAGAGAAACTAGATGTTTACCAGGGGTCTCTTGGTGCCCATGGTATTTTCCTCCTTTTTTCTGGTTTCACCTTTTTTTTTTTTTTTTTTTTTTAGAACAACCCGGTCGGGATGCTAGGTATGCTGATATGAGCAGACACATCTAGCACCGCTGGGGAGGCTCCATCTATTGGTGGGGAGCAGCACCTGCTGGAAAACGGGTCCAGCGTCCCTTGGATACATCATTGTAATGCAATGTTTGTTGGGCATATGGCCATCCAAGTTCATGCTCCACAGCATCCTTCTCTCCCTCGGGGCTGCATATGTCACCCTTCCAATTTGCAGAGCTCCTACTTCCTGCTGGCCTAGCCCCACCCGGGATGGTGTCCGCCTTGTTTTTATGTGTACTCTTCTCAGGTTCTAATGGCTGGATGCCGGAAGGGTTTTGAAAGTGGGCATTGTTTTTTTTTCCTTTTTTTCTCTAACTATGGGGGGCAACCAGAGGATATACCACCTTGCTCATCCCACCTGTCACCCACCCAGAAACGAGGAAAGAGTTCACAGCCCATACTAGAACTCCTCATCAATCGTTCTATCATATCAGGAGAAGGGGTTCGGATATTCCACTGGTGGCCACAGTGGAAAATATGCTTCAATAGTTGTACAGTCATTGAAGAGCAAGTGGTAGCCTCTTTGTACTGGTTCTCCTTGCCGCCTCTCCTCACCGTCCCAAGTCCATACAACCCGGGCTACCCATCCGCCTACTTCCCCTCCCAGCCAGTCTTTCAGAATTCTGTTGATTCCGTTCCAATGTCTGTACAGTGGCCACCAGCGGAATATCCGAACCCCTTTCCGTTACAATGTCTGTACACTGCCCATGTGCAAATTTACAATCTGGACCACGTCGTTGAGGCCTGGGCCTGCACCCTGTTTTACCCAGTTTGCCCTCCATACCGGGTGGGTAACTTTGCGCAATACCCAAGCCCGTTGGCAGGGCAGTTTGCCTCCGTGATTCAAACTTTCAAACTTGCTCCAAGTCTCTGCCGCTGTCTCACGCTGTGTTCGGCAGCTCCATTGGTAAGGTCCCCATCTCCAGCACCTCCTATGCCACATCACCGTCTCTGAAATCCCCCTGCGATCTCTCTCTCTCTCTCTCTCTCTCTCTCTCTCTCTCTCTCTCTCTCTCTCTCTCTCTCTCTCTGTGCAAGGGGGAAAAATGCAAAGATGACCTGGGCCACTAGGGGTAAAACAAAAATAAATAGGGCCTGGGAAAAGTTGGCAAGTACCGGGACATTTTGCAAAGATGGACAGTACCTGGTAGGGGTATTTTGCAAAGATGGAAGGTTCAACCGACGCCGGGTGGCATTTCACAAAACATTTTTCGTGTCAGAAGGGTATTCCGCTCCACCAACATCTTTTGGGGGCATTTTGGGATATATCTCAACTTATAGGGGTATTCCGCAAATTATCCCAAAAAAAAAACAAAAAAGAAACCAAAAAAAAAAACGAAAAAAAAGCAAAAAAAGAAAAAAAGAAAAAAAAAAGGGCCACGCACGCGCCTGACTGAACTGCTAAAAAAGGTCAGCCCGAGGTTTCAACTGCATCTGAAACTCCGGCCCTGACTAAACTGCTAAAATGCAGTTTGAAATGCAATTACAAACTGCTTTCGTGACTGTGCCGTAGTACCCCTTCTTTCTTTGGTATTGTTTTTTTTTTTTTTTTTTTTTTTTTTTTCCTTTTATAGAAAGACATCCCCAGGGGCTACTGTTGAGGGTGGTATGAGCAGCCCCCAATAGTAGACCCGGGGAGGCCCCATAATTTATTGGTGGGGGGGGGCATCTGTTGGCAATCGGGTCCAGCATCCCTTACACATCATTGTTCTGTATAACCATCCCAGTGGCTCAGCTCCATCTGTTTGCAGGAATAACTTGATGGTGGTTTGACATGGGGCAAATGCGATACTTAGACTAGGGACTTTCCTGGAAGAATCTGTCATTAGCCACAGCCAGATTCAGTCCAAAAGGTCCTGTGAGCATGCCTAAGCATGTTTTTCCAGTTTCACTCCAGCCTCACCACAATCAAGTCCTTTCCTCGCAATCATTGCACCTGCCCAGCCCTTGTACCCGTAACTGCTATTCGGTCCAAGTCATGAGGTGACGGTCCGCGAGGTGATTCACACTGAGGTAGGATAGTAGGAATAAGGATCAGGGTGGTGGAAGACCCAAAAGAAGGTCCCTACCTATATGAACCATCCACCCCCCTTCTCCTGTTACCATTCGACCCAACGGAGTGGAAATGGACAGGCTATGACTCACACTCCATGCCCCTCTGGCAGTACACAGTAAAAAAAGGCTACAGGACGGGATGCAAATATGTCCCGATCACACAAACCATTACCAGAAGATGGGAGAGGGACTCCCCCTTGACAATACAGGACCTTCACGACCTTGAATGGTCTACCTACGCGAGCATCAAACCAACAAATCATAGAGCCCTTCAGTGGCAAATTCTTCACAGATGTCTGCTGACGCCCGACTGGCTGACAGCAAGAACTGACACGGAAGAGAAAGGGATATTATCCCCATATGCACATACTGTTCCCACTCCTTCCCTAGGAAGATGGCTACTCTTGAGCATTGTCTGCTGGACTGCCCGATGGGCCTGCAGCTATGGAGATGGTGGGATGCCGCCTGGCACTACCTAACCAATGAACACTTGTCCTGGAGCATCCGCGCCTTGCTTCTGGGGGGCTCTTCCCCCGGTAGCAATACCTGGGTGCCCTTTATGTCCAACCTCTTCTCCTATACTAGGCTGACAATCCTCATGCAGGCTTGGAGAATGCGCTGCTCGTTCCAAAGGAACCAGCACACATTTGGTTTTATGCAGGCACGTGCAGTTGTAATAGAGACTATCACAGCTAAGACCCATGAGGCCCACAAGGAACTGCAGTACAAGTTGAAAGAGAAACCTGATGCTGCCAAGAAACAGGAACTGATTGACACCTTCAACTCCACATGGACTGACAACCGCAACAGGCTGTGCAGCCTCACTCAGGAGGCTCAGCTGCAATGGCAACCCTGGCCCATGACGGAGAGACAGTGGGAGTGCATGCCACAATCGCACTTCCAAGTGAACTATCAACTGACGAACTTCACTCTCATTCCGAACGAAAGCCGGGATAGCCTACCCAGATAGCCTGATCATACCCGCCTCCCACTCTCCTCCCACCCCCATGGGCCCCTCCTACCCCCTGCGTCCATCGCCCTTAACTAGCCGGCCAAGGACAGGACTCCCACACCAAACTCTTCACAGAAATACAGATCATCAGACAGGGATACCAACAGGTACCCCTCCAATGGGAGACGAAAGGAACACAATGAAGAGGTCTCCAGCTGATGCAGAGAGATAAGGCTTCAGCAATGATACAAGGGGAGGGGAAGGGCAAGGGCACAGGGAGTAGGGCCAAAAAATAGAACCTCAGCGATAACAAAAAATGAGGGCACAGGAAGAGGAAAGGGAGGGTAGATAGGCTGTCGGACCGGGATCAGAAAGGATAGGCGCATGACATTGAAGAGGGTATACGGGGAGGAGGGTATAGGGTTTAAGGGGTTCAAATGGGTCAGGCATGATACAGGGTGGCTGCTGACCAGGGCTGGGCGAATGAATAAGGGGCTCTAAGAAGGGATGGGTGTTATCAGCAACTCCATGGGACAAGAGAGACCAGGATCAGAGAAGAAGAAAGCCCACAGCCCAAGCTCGAATTCTCCCACAATCTGATTGTTTTCATAGTCAACATGGTTCACATTGTAAATTACATTGCAATCGAAAGATTAGTATAGGCTACAGGCCCACTAACCTGTCACGACCTTATTGCTATCGTAGCTGACATGGATTAAATCCAACTGTATAATTGCAATTTAAATGTACTTGATAGGGACACTGGACCCGATTTCCAGCAGGTGATGCTCCCCACCAATAGATGGAGCCATCCCGGCACTGCTAGCGGTGTCTGATCATATCAGCACCCCTAGCAGTCGCTC